GTCTGCGTTTTAACCACTGCACGTCTGGGAAACCAGAGGTACGGGTTTCGATTCCTCGCGGTGCCCGCCCTCCCGGCCAGGGTGAGAGGCAGGCGACGCCATATAGCCTCAGCAGCTGAGTGCGTCATAAAGCCTCAATGACATGACATGACACATACGGGGCACCTAAGCTGCTTTCAAAAGCGGTTCAATATCATACGTGACCCTGGTAAGCGGTTCCCGTCTGCTGAGTGTGCCAAAATGCTGGGGTCCTGGATCGGCCGGTAAAATCCGAGCGCGGTCAGAGAGAGCTCTTGCTATGGGCTCTCCAGAAAAATAAAGGGATAACATCGATAATCAAATTATCTTTGAATAGGTTGTGCTTAATTCTGCCGTTTCAAACGGAGCTGCTGCTAATCACGTACTAAACAAAACCTTAATACATTCTGCGCGGAAAGCGTATTCAAGTGGGGCTCAAAGGGGCAGTGCGTGCCAATGTTCCGTTACAAATTTATGTGCGGCTGTATTTGCCTGAAAATGAAAAAATATGCAGGCTGGGGGTTCAGATAGTAAAACAAAATGCGCGGTGGTTCAGATAGGGGCAGAAGTGAGTATCACAAAACTAACAATTTCGCGCCTTCGGTGCTGTCCAACTAAACTAACTGTTGAGCTTCTGTATGAAAAGGGTAATTGAAACGGCTGGGATCGGCGATAGCTGGTTTGTTTCGTGTGGTGAAGGCACAAATTCATTTCATGTTTTCAAACGGCTGCAAGTCATTACGCCTGAAGCCGGAATTGTTTGTCCTTCGATTCGGTTAAAGCGTGCCAACAGTTTTGTAAAGTTGGCTGCAGCAATAGATTATTGTTTTGCGTTTTTTTTTTTGTTTGTTGCTTTCTTTTTTGCTCAGCGTGATAGGAATACGAAGACCCCGTATTTGTTTTTTCAACTAGCTCCGTGATCCCCTCTTTCCGTGACCCCGATGCATCCCTCCTTCCAGCCCGCCCCCACTACCTGTTGCCTACCATTAATGCACAGTCGCATCCACCTCAATCTGAGTCCATCCTGGGACCCAGCACACTGTACTTCTTTTCCAGGCAGCCTAGAAATCCAGTCTGAACCTGTATGCCCAATTTGCTGTGGCGCATCAAAAGGCGCCCTCAGGTAATGCATGCGTGCCAGGCTGGGAGCATGGCTAAGGTATGGTGGAGAGTATGCCAATGGCTGGGATGGGCTCGAAGCGCACACGTGGTTTCTTCAAGGGGGACATGGCTCGAGGAGGCTCGTATGTCTGACGTCATTCCCCAGTGTCACCTACCACCGGTTGGAATTTTGTCATTTCCTCAGCTGCCCTGGCCGTCGAAGTCTTTCGCCGTTTTTTTGTGGCGAGGACAGCAAATCTAGCCTGAGATCAAGCTTAAACGTGAGGCTATGGCAAGTTCCGAAGGTGGAAGAAGACAGCCCTCGTTTTTTGAACTACCCCATTGTGTAGGGCCGTTGTGTAGGGCCGGCGTGCCTGCATTCCTCGCAGCAACAGTTATCCTGGCATTGGTTGAATGACATGGTATAAATGAACGTTCGGGTTGCGTGCATGGTATTCGTAAACTGTGGTGACAGAAGACGCGGCCGGTGATACGCCAATCTCTGATTACGCCGCTGGGCATGGACGTCATGTCATTCTTGTCATATGGTGCCACATTACGCTGCTGGCTACAGTTTGTCTGCAGAGACTGGGTCGGAAACAGAAAATATACGCTCACTACCCTTGTTCCAATCATTGCTTGCTACATTCGTTTAACCAGTGGCCAATGGCGAAACAAAAATAACCATTTCAGCTTGAAAATCGTAATAGTGTATTCCTTGTCATCTTTCTCTGCGCGCCGGCAGCGGTTAACTTCAGACAAGTTGATAAACCGGATAAACATAAAGACAAACTAATAAGACAACCGGCCACCAGGACCAGCTCTGAGGGCTGGCGCTGTACCGTTTCAGCCGCCGAGACGACACTGGCTCTGTTCCGCCAGAGCCTGGCCGGCGAGGAAGAGCTTCAGCAGGACCGTCCCCCACGTCTTCGTCATTCTCGGAGCGTCGGTGAGACATGGCCGCCTCGTGCTGCTCTCTGGTGCAGATCGAGATCACAGCCTGGTCTGAGGCGTCCTTCAAAGATATCGAGCCGAGGTCGTCACATCACATACCTTTCATTCATTAGTTTGCATTTTCTTTGTCCGAATCGAAGTGTTTTTGACGCTACCTCTGACATTGAGTGGTTCCACTACGTATGACTGAGACGGTCAGGCGGTATGCACTTTCGACGGACGGTGTCTTTGGAAATAAAGAAGGGCTAACGAGCCAATCAATTTCAGGGAGATCTGGCCAAGAAGAAGATTTATCCGACCATCTGGTGGTTATTCCGTGACAACCTGCTGCCGGAGAAGACCAGCATAGTTGGCTACGCCAGGTCCAAGCTATCTGTTAGGGAGGTCAGAGCCAACTGTGATCAGTACATGAAGGTGAGCTGGCTGATCATAATGCAGATTTCTCGTCATGCAACACTGCGTAAGAAAAAACAAACCTTCAAACTTTGAGTTCTATCCGCCCACCGCAAAAGGTGGGATAATCGTCGGAGAAGCATTCGTTGCGCCAGTTTCTTGTACAGCATTTAATTTTTGTCTATTTGATTAATTTGAAGTGAATATTCAGCACTGTTCCGCTCATATGCAGCCCGATATTTTTCCTCGCCGGCAGCCAGCATTGCCACAGCATTGGTTCACCCCGTGGCCGCCAGGTGCGGCCGGAGGACCGGGAGCGGTACGAGCAGTTCTGGCGGGTGAACCGGTACGTGGCCGGCGCTTACGACGCGCCAGCGTCGTTCGCGACGCTCGACCGGGCCATCGGCGAGCTGGAAAGTGGCGGCTCAGCCAACCGGCTCTTCTACCTGGCGCTTCCGCCGTCCGTGTTCGCGCCCGTCACCACCAACGTCAAGGCCCAGTGCATGGCCAAACGGTGAGGCGCAGCCCCCACTGTGGCGGGTAGGCATGGATACGACCGGACACGCTCCGCACCAATGGGGAGATTTAAGACGGCAAAAGGACTCGGAGTTTTCTTCAGCGCAAAAAGGGGTTCAGTGGCGGCTGGGGCAGGTTCGTAGCTACATTTGGTAGGACATGCATCTTTTACCGAACATTGATTGAAAACGCCTAAATGTAAAGGCGTTCAGTAGGCAGCCATGTAACCCATTTTGCATGAGTCTGTTGACTTTCAATGCAACGTATATGCGTTTGTAAATGTACATGTAGCACTCCAAATCACGTTCTATTTCAGTTAAACGTATTGGATTTGTCTGTATCGTTACCGTTCCAGATCGATTGGTCTGATCAATGTTTTAGTGCAGTCCAAACGCCGCTACGTCATTTGGAATATCGAAAATTGCCCGGTACAGTCAGCTCAATCTATGGATTGGTTCGCGGACTTGGTTTGCAGCCATTTAGTGAGGGATCTTCCCTGGTGCTCTATTCCTGGCTCCTCACGCTGGCGGGCTCCGCCGCCTTCGTCAGGGGCTGGAGCCGGATCATCGTGGAGAAGCCGTTCGGCCGGGACGCCGACAGCTCAGCCGAGCTGTCCCGACACCTGGCGGCGCTCTTCAGCGAGGAGCAGATCTACAGGATCGATCACTACCTGGGCAAGGAGATGGTCCAGAATCTGATGACGCTGCGGTGAGTGAGCTGAACGCAGGTCAATTCAGCTCAGAAGGCCAGTAGTACATTCAACGCGGCTCGTAGGAGGGAGATGGAGGACCTCGTGTTCATGCAGTGCCGTAGCACTAACTCACAGTCGTAGTTGTTTGAAAATAAAGGTACACTTCTGTACGTTATTCGTAAATCTGACGCCGGTTTTCATCTGACCAATGGACACTGACTGCATTAAAAGATTTCTTACGTTCTTTCTTCTTCGGCAAGGTGCATTTCCATGCCGGGAACGCTACCATTGCTGTCAAGAAAACACTGAGAAATAGACGGAAATGTGTGATCAGCCTTGTCACGCACCATAATATTAGTTTCACACCTTCGTTTGACAGTCATGTCATTGCACATTGAAGGCCGGATATCATGGTCATTATACCTCACAAGATCTCAGATCGGCACAAGTACCCATTGTACTGATTTGCTTATGTGTTTGTTAGTTAATGTAGCGGATGGCGACCGTTTGCATGTTCTCGAGGCGTATATTCCGATATTCGGGCAGGTTTGGCAACGTCATATTCAGTCCGACCTGGAACAGGGACTACATCTCCAGCGTGCACATCACATTCAAGGAGCCATTCGGCACAAAGGGCCGAGGTGGATACTTCGACGAGTTCGGAATCATCAGGTGCGACGGTTGTGTAGGAGCACCACGCACAGCGTGTGGAACACGCGGGTTTTTGTTCGATGACGCTCAACAGCTCAACGTTTGCCCCATTTGGTGGCCAACTCATCAGGGACGGCGGGGCAGTGTTTGTGTGTGTGTAATAGGTAAGGATAGGAGGAGATGCGTATTCGGATCGCAGCCTTGACTGGTCTCCTTACCTGGAGCTTAAAGGAAAACTAACAACTCTAATGACCTTACCCGGCACTTTGCTCACTCCCGTCAGCCATTTGGAGGGTCATATTAAAACGACATGAACTTTGAGTCATTCGCCATGGAGCACAATTCTGGAGGTAGGCACGTGCTTGTTATGCACCTATCTGATATCCTGTTTGAGAAGCGCATTGTGGATCATCATTTATTGGCGTTGAATGCAAAAATTCACGCTACTGAGAAATGAAAAACATGTCCTGTTAAATCTGTATGTGAGTGTCATACTGGTTCTGTCATCTCTTGGTGAAATACCGAGTTTTAAGCAGCGATCTTGTGCACCAAGTATTCACGATATTCGACGTGCAGAATTATTCATCCGAACGGCATTTACTTAACAGCAATGGTGGGTACAACGCATTGTATGCACCTCATGCACCTCATGCACCTCATGAAACGCAAGGTCCATGTATCGATTCGTGAGTTGATTCCAAAATATGCCTCCCAGCGCTTGGGGTGATTCATCTGCGTTTTCTGTCACCTCCCCAGGGATGTCATGCAGAACCACCTGCTGCAAATCATGTGCCTGGTAGCCATGGAAAAGCCCTGCTCGGCCTCAGCAGACGACATACGAGATGAAAAGGTTCTCGCCAGCCTAGAACAAGCGCCAGACATCCGTAGCTAGCAAAACTTCCTGTTGGATCACATTGTGTTTACGTAATTTCTTCAACTATGCGCAGTCCTCCCTAAAAATGCGTTTTCTGTCTGCGATCTCACCGCAGGAAAGAACTCCATTTTCAAATGAACAGCGTGCGGACGCAGGACCTTCACCATGTAACCCCACAGTGGTCCTTCCACTGAATGGACCGATATCTACCGCGTCACTGGACATCAGGTCTGCGTCGCTGCACACTAGGTCTGCGTCAATGGACATTGGGTCCGGGTGACAGCGCACTAGGTCTGCGTCACCGGACATGTGGTCTTCGTCACTGCATACTGGGTCCGCGTCACTGGACACTGGGTCTGAGTCACTGCACATTGGGTCTGCGTCACTGGACACCAAGTCTGCGTCACTGGACACAGGATCTGAGTCACTGGATATCGGGCCTGCGTCACTTTGATAGCGTTACGTTGACATCGGGTCCGCGTCGCTTGGACACCGGGTCTGAGTCACCTGGACGTCGGGTCCGCGTCGCTGGACACGGGTCTGCGTCACTGGACGTCGGGTCTGCGTCACTGGACACTAGGTCTGTGTCACTGGACGTCGCGTCTGTGTCACTGGACGTCGGATCTGCGTCACTGGACACTAGATCTGCGTCACTAGACATCGGGTCTGCGTCATTGGACACCGGGTCTGCGTCACTGGACACCGGGTCTGCGTCTGTCCGCAGGTGAAGGTCCTCAAGTGCACGCGGGAGCTGAGTCTCGACGACGTGGTGTTGGGGCAGTACGTCGGAGACCCGCACGGCGAGGGGGACGCTAAGCAGGGCTATCTGGACGACCCTACCGTGCCCAAGGTAAGCGGTACAGAACCCGCCGACATGCGGGCGGACCTCATGCGAGACTTATCGCGTGAAAGGTGTGTGTGTGTTGCGTATTTCATAACCATTACGTTTGGTTGTCCGCGGTCTTGGACAGCCTCTAGCAAGAATGTAGCTAGCCTCAGGCGTGACCAGATCAGCCATGGCCAGCGTAGAAAGGTCATTGGTGGTCATGTTTGCATGAATGTGAGCATTAATTGCAATAATGACGCTTTTAATTATCACACAAGACGTATTCTAAACAAAGCTGACATGAAGTCTTGATAATGGCTCAAAAGTTTGTTATGGTTCTGGTTAAAATATTGTAGGCTTTTCACAGAATGTCAATGCCATAACAATAGAAGTAACCATAACATCAAAAAGACCGAGAGTTTGCATTTAACTGTTTCTCAGCAGACCCTGTCACCATCTAACTCCGTCCGGCTGCTGGAAGTTGTTGTCGACTCTGCCTTGTCCCCAGACGTTCAATCCAGTCATGTGATCAGGAAGTGCAATACACTTCTCATCTCCCTGTACCGTTTCAGACATCATTTTACCCAAGGGCATGCTGAAACTATGTATCGCTCTCACGTTTCCCCAGTTCAATCTTGTATTATCTTCTAGTCTGGCGGAACGCAGAAAAAAAATCAGTCGAACCCTATCCAAAAACATTTATTTACCGCAGCGAGCGTTGTGGAAGGAACACGACGGCGTGCACGGGTCGGCCCGGCCCTCCAGACTCTGAGATGGAACCGAGCTGAGCGCGTGATTGAGTGGTGACGTCACACAAGTTTGGAAGGCCATCGACAAAGGGTTAGGGCCTCGGAGCATTCAGAGCAGCAGCGGGACGGGGCGTCACGTTTACGCCTGTGACGACCTCCTCCGGCAGGGGTCGGTGACGCCTACCTTCGCTGCCGCCGCCCTCTGGGTCAACAACGAACGCTGGGAGGGTGTGCCCTTCATCCTGCGTTGCGGCAAAGGTAGTCGATGCAGACACTGTAGTCTGCAGAGACCACCAACAGATGGCAGCACTGCCGCTGTGGAGCTGGTGGCATGTTTGCCGCTATCTTCACAGCATAATGTGTTACGTTCATTTGCCTGTGTCACGTTTCCCTGGAGATGGTGTAAAATAAGTGTTACACAACGTAATTTTGCCCTCTAGGGGAACACCATTCGGCTTGTGGCCTGAAACATCCAACAACAACCGGTAAATATCCGAGGGTGCCCAACGTTTTGCTGAAAATAGCGTTATGCACTCTATGTTCGAAGTTTAAAATGATTAGCAGTCGGCATCTTCAGAAAACTATCTGTTCCACTCTTTGTCGTATAATCTGAATGTGACCAGATTATTAGCACGCGACCTTGGAAATGACAAGAATGGACGACTTGCTTGCCGGATCTCATTTTCACCGGCAATACCCGAAAAACAACAACATTAATTCACGCACTGGAATTTCGTGAAGTGACTGATTCAACGAAAACTGAACTAGCTCTGATACTAGTGTTAAATATTGACAATTCATGCAATTAAAAGATTGCGCTCATTGGTATCACGGGGTCGGTGTACTGCATGCTACCTTATTTCTGGCCGGCTACTGATTAGCCCTGTTCCGGTGAGGGGTGGCGGATGTCCCCCCCCCCTCCGCTTCCCACAAATCTCGGAACTGTTTGGCTAATTTTAAGAAATCGAAACAGTTACTGATTTCTGTTAAATAGATCCCGCCAGAGTTTGCGGGCATGCCGCGCTAAGCAACGGAGCAGAACTCCTTGAAAACGCGTGCGAAAACCCGCTGCGTTCAGTGGACGATCTGGGTTTGCATTATTTCTGGATGCATCCATTATAATTCACAGGATTTCCTGGCCGATCCGACCTCAGCAAGGGACGTGCGTCCTGTCGTGTGCAGGGAGTGTCGTGTCGTGTGCATGAATGTACGTCGCATCGTGTGCAAGGGTGTGTGTCGTGGAAAACAAACTTTACCTTATAAAAGTTCTACACACATTCTGTGTGCGGATCTCAAGAAAGGCCAACTGCGTTGTGCCACTGTGGCATTTTGTTGGCCAGATGTCTTCATGCTTTTATATCGAACTCAATCACTATTGGGAAATAATAACGAGCAAAGGCTCCAACACCAACCCCTGTGCAATTGAATCAAACAAAAATAACACACCCCTGCCTTTGTAAGCAAAGCACATTCTGCCGTAGCGTCGGACCTCTGTTCCTTTGTATGTGTAAGGACTTCTGTAGACCGCAGTGATGTGCTCCTCGCCAGCGCTAAACGAGCGGAAGGCTGAGGTGCGAATCCAGTACAGAGACGTGGCCGGCGACATCTTCCACGGCGGTCAAACACGTCGCAACGAGCTGGTGGTCCGCGTGCAGCCCGGCGAAGCTGTCTACGTCAAGATGATGACCAAGAAGCCCGGCATCACCTTCGACATGGAGGAGACCGAGCTGGACCTCACTTACGCCGCCAGATACAGGGTGCGCCACAGACGGTGGCCGAAATTCGTCTCCCAAATCTGATATTATCGCGACTATTCAATCATGCCCAAGTTATATGCATGTTTATTGTAATGTCAGCCCGTCATGCGTATTTATTGTAATGTGTGAAAGGGCGGCAATGCTTTGTTCGGGCTTTGTTTAAGGGCAGTCGAGAGTCGGTGGAAGTTGCTTTAACACGCTCTATCTAAGAGATACAAAGTGTTGTTTGTCTCGCCCATCTCATTGCTTCCCGTTGGATAAGCACGTCTCCTTCGACCCGTAACCCGAGCTCGGCCCGAGTCATGTGTCTGGTGCATCTGCCATGCGCCTTCTAGTGGCCCGTGCCCCTTCAGTCCCTGCATCTCTGATGCCTGAGCTGTCTGCTGAGCCCGCCTCGCCTTCCGCAGAACCTGAAGCTTCCGGACGCCTACGAGCGGCTGGTGCTGGACGTCTTCTGCGGCTCTCAGATGCACTTTGTGCGCTCGGACGAGCTGGCCCAGGCCTGGCGGGTCTTCACGCCGCTGCTGCACACCATTGAGGAGACCAGACCCAAGCCGGTGCCATACAGGTGGGCGGAACTACGGACGAGCGCGCAGCAGGACCGGGGTGATGACCAGGCACTTCCCTCGCTATGGACCGCCATTCTTCCACCTGTTGGATAGTCTTCATTCTGAGTTGCGACGGCTTATCACGACTGACACTGCTTTTTTCTCGTCATCCTTCGGTTTCAGCATTCCTTATGAACGAAAATATTATTATTTGTTTACGGTCTAATCGGTGGTTTTCACGTTGAGCACTTTCTGTGCCCTCAGTAAAAACAGTGTCACAACGAGGAAGTGGAAATTAAAATTTATCTTGAAGTAATCCATGAAACGAAATGACCACCCTCGCGTACTAGTGTCACTAAAACTTTAATCTTGCTCAGAGGCCCTCTTTTTGCCTGCAGCTGTACCTGCGAACCTGAGCCACATTTTGGGCCTGTTTCAGGTACGGCTCGCGAGGTCCACAAGAGGCCGACGACCTCAGTCGGCGTCTCGGATTCAAGTATACGGGCACCTACCAGTGGAACGGCGACAAGGCGCACGTCTGATGCCATCGGTGGACTGGCGACAAGCTGCACGTCTGACGTCACCGCCATTGGAACGGCGACAAGACCATGTCTGATGTCACTAGCAATGGAATGACGACAGGGCCCACATCCGGCGTCACCAGAAGTAGAACGGGGACAGAGCGCATGTCAGATGTCACAAGCAATAGGCCGTTAACAGGGCGTATGTCTGACGTCACCAGTAGTAGAACGACAACAAAGCGCATGTATGACGCCAGAAGTCATGAAACGTTGACGGGGGTGTGTCCGACGTCATGGGCAGCAGAACGGCGACAGCGCACATATCTGACGTCACCAGAAGTAGGACGGCGACAGGGCGCACGTTTGACGTCATCAACGATACGAGGCGACATATTGTGCACCTCACATCCTCAGAAAGGGGGAGGGGCAGGATCTAAAAACAGGCATACGATGCAAACACACAAGTTTTTCGAAACGGCCCGTCCAATCGCCCTGAAGCCTTCACCAATTGATTCCGGGAGATGAGGGGAGTCATGGCGAGACAATATTGAGATCTGACCTGAGGTCAAACACCTCGAAAACGCAAGTAGAAAATTTTACACGCAAATACAGACAACTCAGATCTCAGAGCCTAATAGACCGATCACTGTGAAACCTTCCCCATGGGATGTCCCATACCTGATTCCCTGTTGCAGTGCCAAATTTGGTGGTCCTAGGTCAGATCACAAGTCGTCAAATTTCACAAAGTCCAAAATTCTTGCAGGCAACTTATTGCTCAGAATCTACCACGCCGATAGCTGCCAAACCTTACCATTCGGTAGGCCATCTGCCTTAATTCTCTATTGAATCTGCAAGTATGATGCCATTCATAATTGTCTTTTCCTTTATGTTTGTTCCCAAGCTGGGTTGGGCTGGCCTTATCAGGTTAATTTCTCCTTAGCGGAAGTATTGTGCTGAAAATCATGCGCCGAATTGTGCATAGTATCGCCACGATAAACACCTCCGCTAAGGGGAATTCAACCTCATAAGGCCGGCCCAGCCACGCTGCACGTTGTCTTGAACACAAACATAAAGGAAAAGACATAATTATAAATGGCACCATAGTTGCAGCTTCAACCAAGAGTTAGGTTTGGTGGCGGACTGAATGCTAAGGCTTGGCAGCCATCGGCGTGGTAGATTCTGAGGTATAAGTTGTCTGCATGCAATAATTTTGGACTTAATAAAATTTGACGACTCTTGACCTGACCTAGGGTCACCAAATTTGGAATTGCAAGAAGGGATCAGGTATGGGGCATCTAATGGGGACAGTTTCACAGTGATCGGCCCAGGAGGCTCTGAGATCTGAGTTGTCTGCATTTACATGTAAAATTTTCCCATCGCGTTTCCGAGGTGTCAGGTCTCGATATTGACTCTCCATGACTCACCCCATCGCACGGAATTGATTGGTGAAGGTTTCAAGGCGATCGGACGAGCCGTTCCGGAACACTTGCGTGTCTGCTTTAGACACTTCCGGAAGGGGATGGAAACTGGCTATACATGCATGGCTGGGGCACTGCATCTCCTCGAGAGCGGCCTTGACCCTCAGCGCTTGTCTCCATAGCGGAGTCCACGTCACTGAAAACTATCGTAAGCATTGCGAACTGTAAACGACCTTCATCATTCGAGAATAATTCGGTCGTAACCTTCCTCACGTGATACTGTGAAGTTCCGCACCGACTGACATCTGACGCCACTCAGCGTTGAAATGCTAGCAAGGCGCGAGTATGACGTCACCAACATTGAAACGATGGGTTGGGCTCGTCTGATGTCGCAGGTAGTGAAATAATGACAATGTTCGCATTGAATGTCCGTACGCCACGAAACAATTTAAGTTTGACGTCATCGTCCCAACAAATCCCGTGAAAGGGCGCCCGCAGCCGCGGTAGACAAATCTCGTGGGAAAATCATGCAATTGTTGCTCCAATTGCATGTATTTCATTACCTAGCTTTAGTTTTATGACCGCGTTGGCGGGTAAAAGGTGTCCTACAATCATTATACCGAAGGAATCGGGAAGAAATCCTTTGATACACTCAGATATTTCTAAAAAGATACGGCTTCACAAAAGCATCTGAAAACGACCGCGAAACATATTTGTGAATTACCAGCGGCCCACGAGGCGCTTGGCTTGACAGTCCTGGTACAAACACTTACCAACTTATACTTGTGGCACAGGGCGGCCGAAAGCAGTGAGATCACTCGCCATGATGAAATCTGGTCCGTGAAGTTCACTCGACGTGATGTGCTCTGGTTCGTGAAATCACTTGCCGTGATATGATCTGGTCCGTGAAATTACTCGTCGTAACGTAATGAGATCTGGTCCGTGGAATTGCCCCCCGTGAGAGATCTGGTCGGTGAGATTGCTCCCGTAATGAGACTGGTCCGTGAGATTACTCGCCGTGATAAGATATGGTCCCCGGCGGATCATTCGTCGTCATAGGTCTGGTCTGTGAGATTTCTCACCGTGATGAGATTTGGTCCATGAGACTGCTCGCAGTCGATGAGATCTGGCCCGTGAGACTGCTCGCCGTGATGAGATCTGGTCCGTGAGACTGCTCGCCGTGATGAGATCTGGTGCGGACCGGGCGCCAGAACTTCCACCGATTGATGTGTGGGGAAAATGAACGCCTCCGTGGCTATGTGCGTAATGGCGCTATATTTGAACAGTATTGTGGTGTCGAGATACTGGATCCGTTGTAAGCATTTTATGATCTTCTATACGTTATACTTATGTCACAGCTGATTTGAATGAGCGTACTTTTGAAATTAGTAATACTGCATAACTTTACAAGCCATGTCAGAAAATATGAAATAAACATTTGTGTGATGCGGGAAATCGATGACGATTTCCTCAGCACGAGGTCACAGTTAGGATTGTCTGAAGAAGGACACGAATGGAGCTCAACGAGGTGTTATAACAAACAAAGGAGCCATCTAAGGTGCTAAAGTGAAAATGAAAAGTGGGCCTAATCCACCGTCTCCCCTTCCCTCCGCATGACTATGGCTCTGCCCTGGAGTGTGGCACGTTAGCTTAGCTGTGCCACACATCGCATTTGTAGCGGATATCCTTTGTGCGTCACTTCAGAAAAAAGATGCCTCCACTTAACGAGCTGAAATTCAAAATATAGTAGCTGCAACATATACGCCCGCTCAAACAGTTCACTTATTCTCGTAAAAGTGCTCTTCGAGCAGACATAGACACTGTCATCCCATGCGCAGCGTATCGGGCATCTTCACGTTCCATAGATTGCGCGTGAATTGCGCGCACACAGCCTTGAGAATGCGCTTTCAGAATCATGTGAGCCCCCATCGACCCCACTTGAAGTTGTCCAGTTAGCAAAACTAAGACCTGCGCAGTAGTCGGCCAGAAATGATGGTCTCCTCCAAAGCAAGGACCGCCTCGATAGTAACCTGGCAACATGTTTCCAGACCACGTTCAGTCAATGTATTATACGGTGATGCATGGAACTTCGTGCGCTACACTTCGTCTCATCGCGTAACAATCAAAATTACGCTATATCTCACCCCACATCGTCACGAATGTCAAGTTCGTCCAATATTAAATCTGCCTGTGCTAGTCACTTCGTCGCTCACTATCTCAAAGCCGACGATATCAGCGCGAAAAACGTGTGGCCGGTGGCAGACATTTCCACGATCGTTGGAATATTAATTGGGCTCATCCACCTAATTGTTGATGGATACAGCATATGGCAACGCGACTAGAACATAACACCCCACATTCCACATTAGGGCCCCACACTACCGATCCAAGAGCAATCGGCCTTGCATTGTAAGGCGCACTTAAGGCGGTCATCTGCCGCTGCTTCTCAGAAGCTGTAGTTCCACAGAGCCAACACTGCCGCACATCACTGCCCCCTAGCGTCGTATTTCCGTAGCTTAAGTCCGCGGCGGTGACAGCGCCGCCACCATGAACAGCAGAGCAGCCAACAGCGCCGCCGACGGTGCCGAGGATGGCGGCCTCCGAGCGGGCCGGCGTGTTAGCCGGCACGTTGAACAGCACGCGCAGCGGCTGGTCGGCCTCGGTCGATGGCGTCACGCCCGGCCATGCCCCGTCCGCCCGGCTGAACATGGCCACCACGTCCGCGTCACCCCCACGGCTCACCTCCGGCTCTGGGATTGGCATAGACGGCTGTTTCAATACTGTGGGCGTCACAGAAAAAACAGGAATTATAGACCGCCAGGACCCGGTTCCGATGGGGGGGGGTGGGTGGCAGGGAAGTCCTCCTAGTCCTGCGCTTCCCCTTTTTTATTGTTGCTTGTAAATCGGAATGCTCTTGTCACTCTAAAACCTCAGCGTGAATGGCAGTCAGTGGACTGGGGATAGAACACGTGAAAAAAGAACGACGGCTCCACCTTGCCATTTTCACCCTTTTGTGTGGGTCGTCGATGCGCACCCAGAGGTCACTGAAATTCTCCGTGTACTTCTTGCCGCGCGGACCGCCGGCCGGCCGAGACGGCGTCAGCTCCGCACCGTCTCTGGTCGGCTCGGAGTAGTCCTCCGGAACTGGCTCCGTCGACCGGAAGTCGATCATTTCCGGATCCGGGCCGTCCGGCCGCCGGCGGCGGTTGTACCTGAGTGAGGAGGCGTGTCACGGAAGGGCGACGGCCCTATACCACAAGCTGCGGTACATTCCGTAGGGAACTGATATGTCACAAGGTCTTCAGAGTCTGCAACGCGCCACTCTCTAAGCCCACTACGAAGATTGCGTCAGCGCTATTTTTGACCGGTTCCCGTTGTTTCAACATGTATCGACGTCTTTGGGGACGAGGCACAGACGCCCGCAGCTAGCCGTGCTGAATTGCGGTGACGTGTTTGCTGTCGCTCCGTCTGGGGCGTGTTCACTACCCGACCATCAGGGGCTCCGTCTGGAGCGTGCTCACTACCTCACCAGCAGCGGCTCCGTCTGGGGCGTATTTGCTATCCCACCAGCAGGGGATGCGTCTGGGGCGTGCTCACCTTCGTATACGCTCCCTGGGTCCGACCTTGGTGACCTTGTAACCGGCCTGCCGGAGCACGTCCAGCACCGTGTAGTTGCCCAGAAGTGACCTACAACGACAACGGCACGCATCGCTTTAAAACACACCGATGCCACCTTCTCCAGCGGGATGAGCAAACGGCACCAGCGATACCGCGGCTAGCTCATGACGACTGTGAACCATGACGCCGCTCAGTATGCAATGGCACGTGGCGCAGGCATGCGACGACACGCGCCCGACCCAAAGGTCTCGCTTGGCTCCCAGCTGGCGGCGGCATTCCTCGACAGAGGGCAGCGGTGGCGGCGCACGAGACAGGTACCGAACCATGGGTGACAGCGGCTCGTCCACAGCGGGTTACAGGACCCAAACAAACCAATCACCGCCTGACAGGCCATCCATCACGGATGCTCCCGGCTACAGCATATGCAAATTAACGCCCACCTCTCGATTACGTATCACCCAGCGGTCTCTCTCTCTCTCTCCTCTCTCTCTCTCTCTCTCTCTCTCTCTCTCTCGCTCCTCTCTCTCTCTCTCTCTCTCTCTCCCCTCTCTCTCTTCTCTCTCTCCCCCTCTCTCTCCTCTCCTCTCGCTCTCTCTCCCTCTCCCTCTCTCTCGCCCTCTCCCTCTCCCTCTCCTCTCGCCCCTCCCCTCTCTCTCGCCTCCTCTCCCTCTCTCCCCGCCCTCCCTCTCTCTCTCGCCCCCCTCTCTCTCTCGCCCCTCCCTCTCTCTCTCGCCCTCTCTCTCTCGCCCTCTCCTCCTCTCTCTCTTTCCCTCTCTTGCTACCGCCGCTCCATGATTCGCCGGGACTTGATG